CACTCTCTCTCACATGCACGCATGTAGAGACATCTCCACAACCACCCGCATCCACCTTTTGTCCACTAATTCAACCACCAACATTGACCTCCTCATCTCTTCCTACGTCCACCCACATGCTTTGTCCAGTTATCAACCACCTCCTCATCTCCACTGACAACCACCCACCTCCTCTATCTATCAACGAACCACCGCCAGCCACCTCCTCATCTCCCAAAAACAATGAAAACAGGAAATCCAAAAATTGTGGCAAAGCCATGGTGCGGTCAGTGACAAAATATGAACAGATTGTTCCGGCTACCAGCAACCCCAGTCCCCTACATTGACAATCAAAGATTTCTTTGTTTTGATTCCAACAAAGGTGACGAAAGTTTCTACCATTTGTTCGCAAAGAAGGAGATAACGGTTTATGTGTTTCTGAATACAACAAAGATTGTGACCTAGTAGAGCACAACTACTAGAAATTGAAGTCTTGTGCACCACAACCTCTCTTTTGCTCTTCTTGCTACAGATCTTGTGACCCCCTCCTCTGGTCTTCTTTCACACTCTTCATACCGCAATTTTGAAAACTCTCAACTGATAACCAGAATTGATTTTTCGCCAAAATTATGCTGAATTTCTATAAATTTCTTCAAAAATTTCGCCAAATTTGCAGATTTTTTCTGTTGGCATTGGTTCGATTTTTCTATCAATTTTGCTGCCATTTTCCATGTTGGATTCGTTGGAATTGAGAGGTGTTGTAGTCTTGTGGTAGTATGATATGTAAAAATGTTGTTCAAGTGTTGCGTCATGGTGCTGGTTCTTTAAAGTGAGATATAAGGAGATGGAGATGGAGATGGGTCACCAAAAGAAGGGGGTAAGGTATGCCCGAGAATGAGAAAAGGGGTATTATGTTCATTTTGATCTTTCTATTTACAAAGTTAGTCGGGCACATTAGTCCACAATCACATTGGAGCTCTGCATTTATTTCTAAACGTGAGCAGGTGATTTGCAAAAAGAAAAAACCACAGAGAGTAAATGAAGATTTCCCTTTAATTTATTTGACAAATTATCTTCCATGTCGTATAAAAATAGAGACCGTAAGTCACAGAAATAAAGGCAAATTACAAATTAATTGCAAATAGTGTCACTTTCAAATTAAGAACATAGATTAAAAAAAAACTCATAATTCTATAAATCAAAGTCAACTAAAGAAAGTACCAAAACAACAAAACTGAATAAATATGTATTTGTAGACCAATCACAACTTATATTCACCTAAAAATATTGTTGATAATGAAAATGTAAGATTTCAAAAAAAAATATAAGTGGCCTCTTACTAGATTTGCCCATGTATGTTACTCATCTGAATTGCTTTTATTATTTAATTATATCTAATTATTCAATTATACATAATTGACTAATATTTGTTTTATTTTTCTAGTAAGAGTTCCAAAACAAACCATAATTCAAGATTGGGGTTAGGGTTAAAATTTGGGTTTACATGGATCGAGACTGAATTTAGAATTTCACTTAAAATTTGGGTCAAGGATTTGGGAGATTTTGATAGTGAATGCACCTAATTTCAGGTTGCACGACACCGGCCTATGGCAATGGGACGCCTAGGATATCTACGATTTTGGTATCTATGGATTCAATTGTTAATATTTGATGTGCATCGACTAGGAATGCTAATACCAATCACAACCCACGATCTAGGTCGGGCCGGGGATGGTCGAAATTGGTGACCCCAAACTTAAACCCTAGCTCCAAATTGAATCCAATTACTAAAATAAGGCTTTCTAACACAAGGAAAAAAACAAGAATGGCGATGGCATAAATTTTAGGTACACCAGTTGAAAAAAGATGAAATAGAATACAAAACTGAATGGTCCCCTATCTCGATTGATCTGTAGTTCTATAGAATATTAAATCTGCACTATCTCGATAGATTGAACTACCTTGAATCCTCGTGCGGAATACAGAGCTTGGACTATCTCGCGATCGATTGTTTGTCACTCTCATTATTGATTGAATCTAGTGGGTTGTGCTTTTGTTCCAAAATAAGCGAAAGGTGAAAGATAGAGAAAGGCATGCCTCTACATCCTTGGCTTGAGCTATTCATCTTGGAGCTCCAAAAAGGCAAAGAAACGGAGAAAAGTTCTCTCTGTTTCATGCTTTTAATACTTGGTAGGTGTGCCGTATATTTTTTTCCTCGTAGTTATTGTAGGTGAAGACTAAAAGATAAAAGATGCATATTTACACATTTTCTACAACGAGAAAGACATTTTGCATAAGGGAATCAAGGGGTAAAAAAGTCAAACAAATTTTTGGTGTATTAATTTGCAAATGCCCATCAGCCAATAACTTCGTATCTTCATTGGTCACCGATTCCTATTACAATTACAATTGGTAATAGATCCGTATTTGGGATTGATATTTGCTTTGGAATTCTTATAAAAAATATATAATCAATATTAATAAATTATATACACAACCAAATATAATTTTTATTTAATGGTGAAAGTTATCACCCAAACAAAGTTAATATTTACATGTATAAATAAATAAATATATATATATATATATATAGTTTATAGTAATAAGAGTGATCCAAATAAATTTTCAAAGCGCAACTCAATCCAAAATAACGTACTAAGTCTACCCTCAACGTACCGCGTAATCAAAAAATTATCATACAACGTACTTGTACCCGCACTACATACCAAATCGACTCAAGAATTAGGTAACATTGCTCAAGAATACATATCCCCTATCCGGTAATTAATAACATATTTTTTCTTTATTTCTGGGTACATATGGGCAGCCAAGACAAATACGCCCATCCTCTCTGTGCCATTCATTGAAAAACCCATATAATTTTAAAAAAACATGGTGGTTAATATAGCATTATCTATTAGCACATGTTAAAAGGATATAAAATGGGTCATTTACAGCCCATTTCTTAGAACAACTACTCCTACACAAACAAGTTAGTTAAATATTGGTTTTGAATTCCTTAATTAGCCACATTTACCTATTGTAATTATAGTATTTACCAGATAACAAAAAAAAATATAAATTTATTATATTATTGATGTATCCTAGTCGTAACCATACCCATTTTATTAAGTTTTTCCATACTATTAAGTTGGTAACAGATCATAGTAGTATCTCATATCTGTGTCCACTCCATTTTTCCTATAACAAGGCACATTTAAGAAGAAAAAGATAAGTAATAATAAATTTGAAAAAACAAATACAGCTTTTTCAATCCAAACAGCTATTGTACACCTAGATATCCTTTTATTGTAATGGGAAAGATAACCTGAGTTAAGCTAACAGTTACTCAAACCCCTGCAAAAAGAGGTAGCAAGTGTTTTTTGGTGCCTATTTTCAATTTACCCTTTGTTTTCTGGTGCATATTGAAGTTTGGTTGAGTCATTGAGTTTGGATTTCAAATTGTTAGAGATTAGTAGTTTACTCAAGATTCAAATAGTAAAAAAAAAATTCAACCGCAAGGTTCAAATAGTAAATGCCCTTAGTCAAACCTTCTCGAATGGTTCCAGTTGTCTGTCATATTTTAGGAATGACAGGATTTGAACCCATGATATTTTGTACCTAAAACAAATACTATACCAAGCTACGCCACATCCATTCAATTGGTCTATAGTGCATCATAGAGATTATTGTCTTCTTTTCCACATCGTCATTTCCCCCATCAATATAAACAATTTATGTAACCATTTCCTCTTTTTGGACCCGTTTAACATACAGCATATAATACTACTAAAAGTCAAAAACTCGTATACCCAAAACAAAAGAGAAACCATCGTAAAAAAAAGAAGTATTTTGTGGGAATGCTTAGGAAGAATGATCTGTATTTTTTCTAAAGAAGAATCAAATTATCATTGTATTTATATATTTTTATACTCCTTCCAAGTGCAAGATAACACCAAGGGGTTGTGGAAAATTGTTTGGTTTACAAGGTTCATAATTACTCTTTTGACTACATGATGCTCAGCTAACCAACTTTTAAATCCAACTCTACCCTAACTTTTTTGGTTCACCCCAACATTATACACAAGTTTGACTCTTGTTAAGTAGTTTTGGATATCAAACGAAACTCCCAAGGAAATGACTTTAATGCGGCCAATTCTTCCCCCCCCCCCCACCCCTTCCCCTATTTGCAATCAGTTCCACTACAGTTATCATATGTGGATAACCGTACTTCCAATCTTTTGATTATCTACTTTTGTGGGGAAAAAGAACTAAACAAACCCTAATAGCCTCACAATGGATAGTAGGAGTTGATCTAACTAAAGATTTTTCACCATTAACCCCAATAAATACTCACTTTTTATCTTTCTTTTTCGTAAAACATCAATGTTCCATGTATTACATACCATTAGATTGCATTAACTATTGATTTTGTCTATTTTATTATAGGTAGTCCAGTTTTTTTCTTGGATGGTTTTTTATATAGTATTTCTTGGACTTATTTCTTCTTTATGAATATTAGATAGTTGCGAATAGGTTTACTTTCGCTCTTTCCCTTCTATAGTTTGATCTAGGTTTTCATTGTATCAGTGTGAAATCATCTTCTTATCACTGTATGTTGCAACTGTTGCCACCATTATCTTCGGCAGTGTTTGTAAAATATGATCTGATTCGTCTGAATATAGCAACCCATCGTCATTGTTTCGTAGTCGGAATCATTGTCACAAAAGAATGTTGCTACCAGCATGCCTTGTGAATTGTCATCATCGGTGTTGCCATCCATCGCCGCTACTCGCTTCATATTTTCATGCTTGGAAGGATTGGAATTAGTCCTAAAAAATTGGAGACCAGTAAATTAGTTTTCCTATAACTTTTGAGTAATGCTATTGGGACCTAATTTATTGATCTAATGACTTGGCGAATAATGTGAACCTTGCAACATCACCAACTTCTCCAGCTAAACATTTCATTGTCCTTTTTTTCAATTTTATTTAATTCACATAGGATCTCTTCCTTCCCTCATGTAACCCTTATTATTCTACTCTCCTCTCCATTGTCCGACCATGATACCAACATCGGCTACGAAACCATTGGACACAATTCCCTCACCACCACCTCTCTTCCTCTAATAACCAATCCCTCAAACACTCCAACTTGATATCTTCATTAGGACACAATTATGTCTCTAACCTCATCTAAAACAACTCCAACTTATAAATAATACCCCATACGTTCCTTGACTCTTGTTTCTTTTCTTTTGAAACACTCTTTTTAAATTTTTTCTGCTCTCTCCTAACTTACCCATGCTAAAAAAAAAAAAATTTCTTGTGTATCTTTTCCTCACGAGCAAGATATTAATCTTGTCTAAAATAGATTCCAACCTCAACCAGCTCGCCCATCAAACTAAAGGAATCATTCTTCTTCAACTAATTCAACCATCTCACCCTACTCCAGCATCACCAGCCCCATCTTTCTCATCCCAATTTTATCAAGTATCAACATTACCATCCAGAACATCATTCCCACCCCAACTATGATCAGGAAACACCATATTGTCACACTCCTTATAGTATTTTGTCATTCAAATTTAAATCATTACAACGAGCTCATACAAAAAGAACGCAAACAAGATAAGGTGTCAAAACAATAGATTAGACCCATCCCACCCACACCCGTACCACAAGCACCTATTTTCCCCAAACATGGGATCAAAAGGGAACAATAGCTCAGAATTTAGTTTAAATGATTCCTTCGTAGCAATCTCATTTTCTTCATCAGCTCTCGCTCAGCCTCTATGTTCACTATTGCCTATGACTCACCACCTCATGTCAAGCAGACTAAATACCATTTGAGAAGACCCCATATTTCTGCTATTAAATAGACCCCCCAACATTAACAATTTTTTCAACCACTGTTGAAGCATCATATGAAGTCATGATATCTTCCCTGTAACTACATCCTTCTTCCCCTATAGACTCAAGCAAGCCATTCAACTCATTGTGGGCTTCAATATTGTCAAATATTCCTTCATCAAACTGTCCAGCCCAACTTGAAGATGTAGAATTCCAGACCTATAGACCATTGAATTCAAAGCTTGCCTTCCAGATGTTTAAGATGATACTCACACCATTCTACTATTTTTACAAAAACATCTTCAAACCAAAAATAAAACAAGATTCCTCTAATTCTAATCCATCTCCTTTTACGTTACTAAATTTAGCTTGAGATTACATTTCCATAACCTCAACATCAATGACTTTTGACCCTTCAAGCAATCATTTTGCATACTTACAAATTGCGCCTACATTTTGAACAATTCTGCAGAAAAAAAAAACAGACAGCTTAGTCAGCCTGAAAAGGACTCCATTCAACATTAAACTTCCACATTTTTTTCAATGTCATATCATATGAATTTTCTTCCATGGATGAACCAAGCATTCCCTAATACACAGAACAGCACAACTCCACTTCCCGTTGTCACTAATAACCATGCATGTCGTTTCCCTTCATATTTCACTAAAAGCTTATTATTAATCTTGCCCCTCTACTCACCATTGCTTTTACTTCCATGAATCACTGCTTCAGTCAACTCAACTAAATCATTCCACCCAGTTCCATGTATACTTTTAGTAATAATCCATCTATTTCCACCACCATTATTCTGCAGTTTTGTCACTCCAATAAAATATCATCTTCTATTTCCTACGTATATACAATGAACAAGACCCCTAAACTTTCAGAAAATATCCCACCATTCTTCCATTTTTTAGCTTCGTTAATGAGTCCCCATAACCAGTTTGCACACCCAAGATTCACCAATAGTGAAAAAAACTCCTGCCAACTTCTCTCAATGAGCCTGACTGCTTCACCAGTCTATCTGATGTACATCCACCACAAAGTTCTCAATTCTCAACTCATGTGTTGTCACAATCATTCATTCCACAACCTTAACTTCACGTTTCCTCCCAGCTCCTAAGTTACTCACACTCATGCCATGCATAATCACTTATTAGGTGGGAAAGTTTGAACAAATTATTGGTTTAGAGTTTGTTAAGATAGAAGGAAACATCATTCTCTACAAACGGATTTAAGGGGATCGAAAAGTAGGGTTCATAGTAGGGGTTGCTAGACTTTTAAGACGGTCTGTTGGAAATGGTACTAGTTCTCAATTAGCATGGGCATGGAGTGATTATTTGTATGAAGGTAAGAATGAGGGTAAATACAAGATAACGAGAGCTCTTAGGGCATTCTCAAAAAACCATAAAGTCTAAAGCACTGCATAAATATATGTCAAAGTTACGTATTTAAGAATTTTAACATTTCCATGATAAATGTTGCATAATGCCTATTGCTTACACAAACATTAGAACAATTCAATGGTCTCCAAAATTGTTGGCTGGTCACATGTGGTAATTATAATTCTTCTGTTTTATTGGATGTGACCCCTTAACCTAGTACAATCCAATACTGGGTCAAATTCACATTTTGGTTAGGTATTTCTAACGAAGCCCACATATCCGAAATGGGTTGATCTATAGTAGCATCAAATGCACAAATGAAACCAGAACTAACACAAAATTAGTTAATTTATAGTAGCATCGAGTAATACTTTTGGCATTACTAGTACAAAGAGGCTGCCATCATATTCGAAATCATAAACTCAAAGTTATTATCCCCTACAACAGTACCTCAAAAATAACAAATTTAAAGAAAGACCACATATGATTAAAAACTTACTTGTTAACAAAAGATTCCACCATCGCTTGTCTTTCATCTTTGGACACCCTTTTCCGAACTTTTTTAGCTTTTGGTGTATCAAGAGGAACAGATGCAGCAACAAATGACCTTCCACGCCGCCTAATATTTGACCCACCCCGCAAAAGATTGGATGTTTCGCTAAATACTGTTAAACATTCAGAAAAATTATTTACTACATTGTACCAAATGTCAAAAACAACTACAAGTAGCCATAGAAGAAGGGGAAAGAAATGAAGAAACCTTGTTCGGAGATAGTATAAGGAAGTCGCCTAGCAATCTGCATCTCCTCGAGAACAGCAATCAAACGAACAAATATAGCAATTCACTCCATCCAATACATTCACACAGACAGAGTCATATCATATATATATTTCAAATGGAATTTTTTTGTAGTTGAACCGTGAAGAATAAGATGGAGGAAGAGGGAGAGTGAGGGTTTAAGACAGTAGGTTTGAATTTGGGTTTTTTGGGCGATGGCTTGGGAGGGGGTTTTGAGTCTTTTGGAATTTCATGAACCAAAAATTGTAAAGAAAAAAATAAAAATTACTCTAAAATCTAGAGATGTCAATAGTGTTAAGTTAAACAATTATGAATGGAGTTTAATCGGGTTTGCGTGAAAAATTAGTAAACTCATTCATGATTTATTTAAATAAAATGAACACGATTTTTTTATTTAAAATTAGTGGACATGATTTATTTAAAATCTCCAAATCGAACAAGACTTTTTTATTTTTATATTTTTATTAAATGAGTTGTATTAATAAATAAAACTGAATTTTAGATAAAGTCGAGTTAATACGATAACTCTTTTAACCCCATTTATTTCAACATCATTTGAACAATTATTATTAAATTTATTTTAAATTTATCTAATTAATAACTATATATTATTCTGACTATTTTTTTAATAATTATTAATTTATTTAATATTAATTTTATTTAAACTAGTCACACGAACACGGCTCGTTTATCAAATGGGTTTAGCAAATGTACTCGTTTGTCACCCGAATCTAATAAAGCATCACCAAAAGCTACTTAACTTTGTAATGATTAATCGTGTTGTATCCAACTTTAACTGCATGAACTAAATGGTGCCGCAAATAAACCAAAAAAAAAAAAAATTTGGATTTCATTTTGAACTTTATTTATAACAATGCCATTCATAAAATGTATACTCCATGAATTTTTTATTCCCTTTAATTTATCTATTTATAACTTTATAAAATTATATAGGATGGACCATTAAATGGGATTATACCAATTTATACCAAACTATGACGTTTTAAAAAACCGAGTTTATAAAATACAATTTTAATTAAAACTTTGGTTGAAATAGGGAAAAATATAGATTGAAACAAATAATTCTCAGTTCATAATAAAAAACATAAGAGTTTGGATCATTGAATAACTTCTATCCACATAACATCTCCCATGACATAAATAATGAATAAATAGTAATTAATATAATTCCAATTTTCATTACAATTAAGAGTAATCAGTGGGCACTTATTTCTTAAAGGGATGAGGGGAATAGCTTGTGCCCGTCCATATTCCACACATATCCGAAATGAATTGGTTGAAAAACCTAGTGGACAGGGGTTTTATGATAGGAATAAAAATGATTCACTTCATATCCTATACAAATGTAATCTATTATGCCCCATTCGATTTTTTTTTTTGATTTTTTTTTTTTTGCTTTTTGGGGCTCGTCTAAGTAATCTGCGTGCTACAAATGTCTAGCAATCAGGTAAATTTGGAACTCTTTTAATTTATTCTACTGGCTCTGCTCATCCTAAATAGATATGATATCTTTCAAATTTTTTATTATAAATGAAACCCCTTTTTTAATTCATATAGAATATGAATGAAAATTCAGTTACTCAACATATTTCTCAAACTCATCCCATTTGTTGCAAATTCCACACATTAACGTTTCATTATCGTACCTGTATAATATCATCACAATATCCTTTACTGATGCTCATGTCATTAATAAAATGAATGAACGTGGTTAAAAAAATGAGGCAATTATATTTACAAAATAATGGCACCAAATTGAGAAACAAACAAAAAATGTAAATTTATGTACACCATAAATTAATGATTTGATACAATTAGGAACAATATTCAATTTTTTCAATGGGGAATCTGTGACTATAAATAATCACATATGTACAATAATGTTAATTGAAATAATTATATTCCGAATAACTAAAATCGAGCAATTGCATAATAAATCACGATAAGATTTGTGAGTTTATATGATCAAAATGAGCAAAATCAAAGAAACAACATTATAACAACTATAATCAAATAATTTGTATATTATATATCATATTTCAAAGTGAGGTTGTAACGATATTATTTAGAAAGGTTATGGAACATTATAATACTAGCAATGCACCACGTGCGTTGCACGTGAATAATTTTTTTAAAAAAATATTAATAAATAAATATTTGGTATATGGGTACTTGAATTAAATATTATCTCAAATTTTTCAAATTTATTTTTTCATCTCTCATGTTCCATTGTAAAATTTTTGAAAATTTTGTATATTTTCAAGAGTTATTGTTCTAACTTTAAGAAAAATAATTAAAGTTCTATTTTATTTCTATAATTTTGTAATTGAAAGTGATTTTTTTGTGATGTTTGAAAATTAAATTTTTTAAAATTAATTTGATTAAGATTTCACTTATAAATCATTGAATAAAATAAAAATAATTATCAATATATCAATTGTATTGGAACTTACTGTATAGAGGATTAGTTATATCAATTGAGATAAAATTTAATATACAACGTCATAATATATATTATAAAGCATATTAAAATTTTTTAAAAATTCAAGTTTTCACATAAAATGTTAATACAGTTTAAAAAATTTATTGCAATTAAAAAATCATGTAAAACTATATATACATTATTTTTTATTTTAAAAATAAAATGGTTAAACATTTTGATGAAAAATAAAAAATATATATGTAGTCATAATATTATCTTTATAAATGAGATGAATATTATTATATTGATGGAGTTTTTGAAGGTTTTTTTTTTAATTTTGTTAAAATGTAAAGTAATGCATATATTTTTTAAGAATAATATAATCAATCAAAAAGTTTCATGACATTTATAACTAGAGAATAGATAATTAGAAAATTAATTTGATTAAAATTCAACTTATAAATCAATAAATAAAATAAAAATAATTATCAATATACCAATCATATTGGAATCTTATTGTATTTAGGATTATCTAGGTTGATTGGAATCAAATTTAATATACAATGCTATAATAAATATTATAAAGCATATTAAATTTAAAAAAAAAATCTATTTTTAACATAAAATCTTAACAAAGTTTGAAAAGTTTACTATGACTAAAAAATCATGTAAAACTATATATACATTATTTTTTATCTTAAAAATAAAAGAGTTAAACATTTTGATCAAAAATAATATATATATATATATATATATATATATATAGTCATAATATTATCTTTATAAATAAGGTGAGTAATATTATACGATGGAATTTTTTAAGGCTTTTTTGAATATTTGTTAAAATTTATAATAACGCATATATATTTTTAAGAGTAATATAATCAATCAAAAAGTTTAATAAAAATTGGCATTTATATATAGGGAATATTTGTACTACTAATAAAATGAAGTTAAGTGAAAAACTTTTGATTGATTATTATATCCCTATTAAAAAGATTAAAACCAACTATATCCTTATGTATTTAATTATCAAATATTAATTAAATATTCAAATAACCCTTCATATGCTTCCACTTCTACATAAATTATTGTTCCTTATGTACATTTACGTATTTCACAAGTTGATGACTCTCTCTCTCTCTCAAATTCTTTTTACCACCATTTAGTTTATAATACAACTATTATCTAATTCTATTTTGCAGCCACTGAATTAATATTGATTCATTGATACACTTGTCCATGATTGTTCAAATAATAGTATATAAAAAATTATTTTTTACATTCAAGTAATTGGACTTTTCATCCTTCCTCCAACGCATACGGTAAAAGTTTCTACTTTGTTTCATTTACTTTTTGACCTTTCTAATTCTAACTTAATATTGATTAGTCGGTTTGAACCTTTTTATTTCATACACATTCTCTCTTTTTTTGTAAAAACTGAAATGCAAAAGTCAAAAAACTCATATAGTTGTTAAGTTCCACAATTATATGAATTATTTTCTTTATTTCTCTTTCCACCAACCAATTGATCTCACTTTTTCTGCTTTGATGGTGTATTTCAACATGATGCAGTTTTGTGATGACGAGTAAATGAAAGAAACAATCTTGGAATTATTGGGATCTGAGCTACTAAACTCGAACGAATGATACTGAGAATTGTTGGGGAGTTGAGGAATTAACACAGTAGAAATATAGTAGTTCACCAGCTCGGGAGCTCGGCTAATCCACTCTTCAATGGAGATTCTTGCTTCTTCCTTCACTATTTACTATACCAAAACGTTTACAGAATGTAATATGTGATCCTAGGGTATTGCCCCTCTGTTGGGGACGTTACATAGTATTTATAAGGCTTTCCCTAATTTTGCGGGATCCGTCCTGAGATCTTTGTCATTTATCCGAGGAATTCTCCTTGATCTTAGGAGGAGATCTTTCCTGGATGACAGTTTTATGCTTTGATTATGACTCTTTCCTGCCTCTAGGGTTTCTGTTGACAAATAGTTATCTCTTTATTACTTCCGCTGCTGTTTTGATTGGGTTGGGCTTTACTCTGGTTTTATGAGCTCCGTGCGTCTGACCTCCACTCTCGAGCTCATACTTGAAAATTGCTCTAAGTATCATCAGTTGCCCCCAGCTCTTGGTCAAGCTGGCTTAGGTGAGGGCTGAGCTTAAGATGTAGCAGAAGTTTCTCAATCAGCGACTTCGAAGTTTGCACGGAATTTTTTTTTTTTTTTTGCATGTAGGTGCTCTTGACTTGAACCTGCTTGAATTGATGAGGGTGGAACAAATGACCCAAGATGAGCCCATGTCTTTTCATGGTCTCGTGACGCTAGATAATCTGTTCTTGTTTAGCGCCGCTGCAGCTGAACGGGACTTTCCCTTTTTTCCTGAATCTGATCTCTCTTCTACCGGGTCTAATGAGAGCGAGAATGCTGGGACTCATATCAAGAAACGCAAGAGGGATGGTTCATCCTTTCCTTCATCCAGATCTTTCCTGGGGGAAGTTCTATTTTCCTCTGCTGGGCAAAAATTAATGGATCTACTGTCAGCGACTGAGAAGG